CATGATATGCTCCTTTTTGGTGAAAAAAAAATCATTTGATGTATGTTCTTGTTTGTTATTTATGCTAAACTGGAATTCCAAAAATCATCATGGGCATATAACTTACCCAACCAAACTAAGTTGACCAAACTCTCTAATCCTTCAATTTTTTCAATAATATTATTGTCCAACTGTAATTTGGTAAGCTTTGTGAATTCCCACAGATTATCAATTTTCAGAATATCTGTAAATGAAAATCAGAATGAGTTAATTAATAATTAATTCAACAGTCATCATTAATCAAAAAATGATTTTAATATACTTTTATAGTTTCAACAGTGTTCAAATGAATTGGAAAAAAAAAGCTTACTTAAAAAATCAAGTCGCAGAGATAGTACATCTCCAAAGTCAATTCCCTCTTGTTTTGCAATCTTCCCTGCTTCTTCTTTTGGTCCCTGCTCTTCAACAGCTTTCTTGAGCATTTCCTCATCTATAACAGCTGGCTCCACTGTATCGTATAACCGACTCATTTTGATTCACTTTCTTTTCAGCTAAAAAGGAAAAAAAAAACTGTGCATTGAAAAACACTTTAAGATTTACTCTCAATGTTTAGGTTAATTACTCCTGATGATTTTAATAAATGGTATTTTGTCATATAACACCTTAATATTCCTGCTATAAATGGAGTTGTTATAAGGTCTCAATTGTGGAATGAAGCATAAGTGCCTGAGGACAGGACCTATATCCCTCTTCATAAAAAGATATGTCCTCATCTCTTACAGAGTGCCAACACCTGTGGGATAAAGTACAAATGATGATCACTTTCACCTGCCAGAAAAAAAATAAACCTGGGTCCCAATAAACGTGCCAAATGAACAGGAGAGAGGAAAATTTATGGCTGGACATGGAATCAAATGCAGGACTCATGCAGTACTCATGCATTACTAACAGATGCTCTAGCCACTGGGTTATCCAGGCTGATATATATGGCCTATTATATTCTCCTATCTTAAAATGTCTTCCCCCTCAAAGGCATGTATAACCCATGTGCTTTTAGCCACTGGCAGCTGGTCCTCCACCTCTCTTCCAGGACACAGTACGCCTACGACACCAAATGAAGTAAGGACAGATTTGTGCCTCTTCTTACGATTAAACCTGGCATCCCTGGCATATCAGTCCAGTTTCTACCTATTTAGCAAAAGGGTTAACTAGTAGGAAGAAGTGCATCACAATACCACATATGCATATGGGGGTGGGGGTTCCATCCTCAGGCAAATAAAAGAAAGAAGTCATGGTCTCTGACGTAACAATCCATTTCCGATCGAGCAAACTCATTTTAAATTCCACGAGCTGTTAACTCACAGAATCTTTCAGACTTGGTGTAAATACTTATTAGTTCGAATTTCCTCGTAAGATAGAGTTACATTTCAAATTCTAATAATTAGCCTACTCTGCAGTTTTAATTAAGTGTAAACAGTCTGTAAAATAACAAATTTCACAAATCTTACCCGTATATTTATGCCGCCTTTAAATATCAGTTCAGGAGAAAATAAATTTCACTGTGAAGTTGCCGACACAGTGTTGACAGCTTTTTGTTTAAACAACTTCATAAGCTGACAACTAAAATCAAAATTATTGATGAATGATATGTAAAGACATTCCGCCCAAAGCATTCAATTAAAGCAAATATCAACTATATTCTTGTTTAAAAAACTTTTTCTTCGGGCACTGTGCATTTCAAAAAGAAAATGTATACAGGTTGTTATGGTTATTTTCAACATCCGGTATTTGACTTCCGGGAGAATATGATTAGCTCGGATGTAATTGAGCGTATGAGGAAATTTTGATAAGGTGAATTTATACCATCATGGGATAAATACCCTTTTTATGTGAATAAAATTATATTCATACTAGTAAAAATTTATAGATATTTAAATGCAATATTTTGGGCTAACCTGAACCACTGTCTATCGTAAACTTTTTACAATATTTCATATCATTCTCCAGAACCACTGTGTCAATTTCAACAATTCGTCAAAGCTTGGAATGGAGTATCCTTGGGTGAAAGAGATTCAAATTTGTTCAAATGAAGGGCCATGTCCTCTTCCAAGGGAGAGATAATTAAGATGTAGAGTAGGGTATTTTTTTGTGGAACGATTATAGTTTGGGGGGATTCCCGAATTTTCCTAGGTATGCATAATAAATAAGTGTAATAAATATAATTTGTGAAAAAATATTCAACAAGCCCCAGCGTTGATTTTTTTTTTTTGGGGGGGGGGGTCCTGACCACAAGCACCTGTGTAGTCATACTGTCGTACAGTATCTATACTACTATATTAAAATAATAGACTCGAATTTTTGGCCTTTAATACCGATAAATCGGAAGAGTACTGTCTTTTGTTTTATATATTTTAAACATCATTGGTACTTGAATATTACCAATTTGTTTTTATTTTTCTTCAATTAACCTTCGCTAATTAATAATCAACGAAAATTCCTCAAAAAATTCCGGAAATCATCTGGATTTTTTGGATTTTACAATATTGCGCGTGCGCATTACATTCACGCTAAATCACGGTGTTCAAATCAGAGAAGACTATTTAAGAAGTACTAAGTAGACATATATTTGTTATTTTATAATATCTCTAATAAGAAATAAATATATATAAACAGAATATATAGCAAATTTCCAATGAAAATTTACACGTATTTGTATTATCTTTCTGCATACCATAGTTTATCCATACAACTGTAATATTGTGGCCACGTGGGTAATCATTCGCCATCTCGGAGACACATTTATTATATGTTATTTATGCCTCTGGCCATCTCAACGGAGGCAAAAAGCTCATGTAACTACCCGATTTTATTTTATCCTTCCTTTCTTTTATGCTTTTTTGAGGGGAAGGGGGGGTGTTACAACTCCAGCTAAAATCACATCTTAGTGAAGTAGGCATTTTTATTCCGCCAAAAATTACAATAACATTATTTTCATTTGTTGTTGTCATATTTTCAATAAATATCCATAATTTCTTTTTTTAAATTTGTTTGGAAAGGTGAAATTTATGTAAGCTCCGGCCCGGCGTGATTCGAACTCATGACTTGATTTATAGCCAACTGGGGGGTCATACCCATTCTGCGCTACGCCGTTACGCAACAATTTTGCAAAATAAAAAAAAAAGAAACAAAACAAAACAAAAAAAACAAAACAAAAAACAAAACAAAATTAAAAAAACAAAACAAAAAAAAACAACAAAAAAAAACAGAATTATATTCACATTCATTGTTTATCTCAAAAGTACCTTACAATATGAATGTGTCGATGTATCTATTTTGTAAATGTCAGATATGCACATGGATGCATTCATAACAATGTCAACCCGTGCATGCACGGGTCAAAGTCTAGTTTATATTTAAGCATTCTCAAGTCATGTAAATTCAAGTTTATTCAAATCATGACCTCTGGAGGTAGGGAGGGGCCACAATGGGCGATCAATGTTTTACACATAGAACTCTTTTTTTAAAAATCTCCTTCTCAAAGAAAAACAATTTTTAAAACCATGATAGGAATATATTCATACAAAGAAACCACAGGAAGTGTAGATATTCAAAGAACGAGGGCGCTTTGATTGGCATTCGGCAGGAATATGGGCGCACTTGAAAAGTGAATTGATCTATCTATCACACGAAATTTGAGCATTCTTTTGATCATTTGGGTTCCTGTGAAATAGGATAGGGAAACATTTTCCCGAAATTGTATTTTGATTTGCTAAAATATAACTTGAAAATAGGCTAGATGATTCATTTGGTACAAAATGTCACATTTTAAAACACGTTTTTCTAAAAAATTTGCTATCTCTGGGTCATCTTTCCATGATTTTCAAACGTTATTTGTATGCATTCTAATTCAAAGAAACAAACAATCATTTGTAAAAAAAAAAAATAAAAAATAAAAAATAAATAAATAAATAAATAAAAAATGGAGAGGAGACCCAGAGACCATAAAAAATGAACTTTTTCCAAAAAAATTCCAATGTGTAAATGCGGTGCTTAATAATTCATATTGTCGTTTTAAAAGCCAAGTTGTATGTGTATCGATGATAGCTCAGTAATATGCGTTACCCGTCAAGTGCAATGGAATGGAGTCAAATTTTTGCCTGTTCGATCCTCGCATGGAGCGTTAATATTTTTTAATGTAAGCAATCAATTCTTTTGTCAGTTTAATTTTTTTGTACTTTTTTATTTTAAAATGGATGAATTCTGGTTCTGTTGCGCCGAGAGAGAAAACAATTCTTCCAACCTACTGATACTTTAATATACACATGTACTTGTAATTATTATCTTGTAGGTGTTTATTATTTATGCGAAGCATTACTATGTTAAAGTTTGATTATTAAGATAAGCGGACCTAAATATTACAATTTGACATGTTATTTCAAACTTAATATAACATTTTCCCATGTGTGTAGCTTCGTAAAGTCTGTCCAGCTGTGGTCGGACAACCAAATCGTGGTCATTTAAACTATAAACGTTTCGTACACATAATTCCTGCAGATCACACGCCAAACACGCCCATCTCCTTTGTTCAAATCATGACCCAGAGGATGGGGTGGGTCCACAATGTGAAATTGAAATCGAATACATAGAGAAAATCTTCTAAAGAACAGCAATATCAAAGCCATGATTAGTTATATATGTAAGCATTCCCGTGTCATGGACATGTAGGTTCAAATTTGCTGTAATCATGACCCCTTGTAAAAATATGTAAATTTTATATAGGTGCATGTTTATATATATAGGAAAAGAATCTGCTGATGAAGTTACTCATGTGAGCAATGTTGCCCATGAGCCTCTTGGCTTTTTTTCCCTCCTCTTTCTCGGATTATAAATAAATTAGCCTATAGTCAGTGTTTTGTAAAAATAAAAACATTACGGGATATGTCACCTGGGTTTGTATTCATACTTATGTTGCAAATTTGATATTTTATTCACCAATCGGTGTACAGCGCTGGCCTTGGTGGTAAATATACCTTCACCATGGGAAGATCACAAGCGTCTGACTCACCAAGAAGTGGGTCAATAAGGGTGTGACGTCATATTGTTATTTACCTGAAAATGGCTGCTCTCTTCGGACATGGAAATCCTCTTGCGACGCAAGTTGGACAGTTGATTGGTAGGCATCTAGGGATGTCAACATCCATATTTCGTAGCATGTATATTTAGTTTGTCGTAAATCTGAAGATATGCAAGGAGTAAACCTACTCAAACAATGTTAGAGGGATTGATTAACACACTGGAAGGCCAGTAAATGCAATGCTATTGATTGCATGATAATGATGTAAACCTAGAATAATCTTTTATGTACTGTTCACGAAGCAATAAGTATATAATGTAGCCGAAACAGATAGATCTTCATAAGTATGAAAGTTACACCATAAGGTAACACCAGGATGGAGGATATAATCGAAGCATTTGACATTGAGTCAGCTTGGAAAATTGTAGATACAGTTGTATATCAGCTAAGCTGGCAAAATTGTTAAGTTTACATGGTCTCTGCACTTTAACCTGCTGTTAATAATATGTTGAATGGTGTCATTGGTGTGACCGCCAAGGGGACCACAGCATGTTCCTATGGATGTCACAAAAGCACACCTTTCTACATTTCTATCTTGGAATCCAACTCATACAAATCAAATGGTCGAAAGTTCCAAGCAATCTGTGTAAACAAATGATATTTCTTTATCCTCTTGGAAGTGTGAGTTTACATGAAGAGATTATTATTCCCTAGAAGCAGATTGTATTTTAATTCTTGAAGATGGAAATAGATGTTTGTTTATTATTTCATTAAAACTTGATATTTTTGAGATTGATTCCAAATTCATTTGTCAGTTGCATTTTCTGATGGAGTGCAACAAGTATTTCTTTGTTTTGTTTTTTCAAAAAGACACAGTAATTTTCTTTATTTGGTTCTCAGTAAGAAATTAAAATGTCAAATAATTAATGCATTCTTTGATAATTACAAGGAATCATGGTAGTTTGGAATTTTGGATACTCTGCCAAGGAAATTTTCTTAAGCAGACTCAACTTCAAAACTTTCTACTTTCAGAGACAGCTGCACTTAAATTCTTCTTTGACAACTTTTTCACTGCAAATGATTTTATTGTCTCATTCTTGATGCCAGAGGAAACTGCATAAATGACATGAATAGATATCTGAGTGAAATGAAATCCTCACCTCTTATGATATTAACGTGTTTCAGTAGTAAGCATGTTATGTGCAGTAGTCCTATTTTAATTTTGTGTAGAGAGAGGCACAGATGGATCACAAGCATCAGAAAACTGGATGGTTTTGATGGAAGTTTGTGATATCATCAATGAAACAGATGAAGGGTAAGTCTTCAGATCACTTCATGATTTAGTGCTATAATTCAAGGTACCACGCTGTTTCTCCTTTATGCTCCAGAAAATTGATAGAGGGGAGCATGGTTATCAATTTTGTATAATGTTCATGCCAGATGCTATTCTTGGAGGAAATCTTCGTTCAGTTACTGTAAACATGGAAATATTGACGATATTTGTAATTTTGACAAAAATGACGATTTTCCCATTTTTAGCTCACCTGAGCCAAAGGCTCAAGTGAGCTTTTCTGATCACATTTTGTCCGACGTCCGTCTGTCTGTAAACTTTTCACATTTTTGACTTCTTCTTAAGAACCACTTGGCCAAATTCAACCAAACTTGCCACAAAGTTTGTTCAAATGAAGGGCCACGCCCTCTTTCAAGGGGAGATAATTAGGAATTCGTGAAAATTTAATGGCATCATTTAAAAATCTTCTTCTCAAGAACCACTGGGCCAGGAAAGATGAAACTTATGTGGAAACATCCTCAGGTAGTGTAGATTCAAGTTTGTTCAAATCATGACCCCTGGCTATAGGGTGGGGCCACAATGGGGGATCAAAGTTTTACATAGAAATATATAGGAAAATATCTTTAAAAATCTTCTTCTTAAGAATAGCAAAGCCATGATTAGTCATATTTCTATGGAAGCATCCTCAGATAGTGTAGATTCAAGTTTGTTCAAATCATGACCCTCGGAAGTAGGGTGGGGCCACAATGAGTGATCAAAGTTTACAGAGGAATTTTTAGGAAAAAAGCTATTTCTCAAGAACAGAAAAGCCATGATTAGTCAAATTGATATGGAGGCATCCTTGGGTAGTGTAGAATGAAATTTGTTTAAATGAGGGCCCCCGGGGATAGGGTGGATCCACAATGGGGGATCAAATTTTTACAAGTGAATATATGGGAAAAATCTTCTGCTCAAGAACAGTAAAGCCATTTGTATTGATATGAAAGCATCATCAGGTAGTTTAAAATTCAACAACCCACAACCCCCCCTGTAAACTTTTCAATACTGAACTGATTTTTGCTTTTTTTCCTACCGATGTGCTCAGGTGAGTGATGTGGCCCATGGGCCTCTTGTTTGTCAATAATTCCACCCATCAAACTCTGTATCATACATATAGGAAATGCAAATGGCATCAAGATTTATATTTCTACCTTGCATTGTCTCAAACTTTTATAAATATGTGAAATTACAATCATGTTACCATTACAATCATGTATTTATTTATTAATTATAATCAGATTCCACCCATTTATAGTATAAAGGAAGAAAGAAATAAACTAACAATGTACTTTTATAACTTGGAGCTTGACTGAATTTATCTTACCGTTCTTGTAAGCTTGGCCTTTAAAGGTTTTTATACATATTTATGGTAACCTATCTTGTCACCCCAGGCAATCAGTCATGCTGACAGCTCGATAAAAACAGAAGTAGAGGAAACAAATTATTTAATAAAATTTTACAATCATAATTGCATGACAAAATTGGCTTTGTAGTATACTTATTTACAATCCTGATAGCTGGGGCTTTTGAAATCAGTGATTTCAACTCCTTAATATTTGAATGAGTGAAGTGATAGCTTTCACATGCAATATATTTATTTCGAATAGATAATCTGCCTGTACCCTTTTTTTGTTTGATTGAAAAAATAGCCATATGCATTTTGCTTTGTGCAGTTTGTGAAATTTGTGTAATATCAAAGAAATGTAACCCTATAGAAAACCGAAACTTTATTAAAACTAACACTCATCAAACTTCTTCTAAATAAAATGGTCACATTTTCAAATCGTCGTAATAACCACATTTACAGTATGCTAAAGTTGTTTGTAAATTAAGTTGTAATTATATGATATTAGTTTTGTGTTTATTTTTTAGTCCTAAGGATGCTGCTCGAGCAATCAGAAAGAGGTTATCACAAAATATGGGGAAGAACCACACGGCGGTCATGTACACGCTAACTGTAAGTAAATCATGTTTATGAACAACCTTTGATTCCTAAATACCCAATAAACAATAGATGGGTTACATGATTTGAATCTTGCAGTGTCTAGAAACGTGTGTAAAGAACTGTGGCAGAAGATTTCACCTCCAGGTGGCAAACAAAGATTTCCTGTCGGATCTGATCAAAGTTATTGGTCCAAAGTATGACCCACCACAAGCAGTTCAAGAAAAAGTTCTAAGTCTTATTCAGGTAAATTAATGCAAAAGACAAGATCTTTCAAAAATACTATAAAACTATGTGCCAGGCTTTGAACTTGACCTTTAACCTTTTTCACTCAGACATGGGCAGATGCATTCAGAGGGACTCCTGAACTGAAGGAGATAGACAAAGTTTACCAGGATCTGAAGGCAAAAGGAATAGAGTTTCCTATGACAGATCTTGACCACATGGCACCCATCCATACACCAGCCAGGGTAGGCTACTCTTGCTCAAATCACTTTTAAATGATCAAATAATAGAAAAAAACTGAATTGTATATAAATGAGTATGAATGTTATTTCATGTGATTTTACCATATTATAAGGTTTATAATAGAGTTATGCCCACTGCCTGTATTGTAACATAGGGTTTGTGGAGTTATTTTACCAGATTGTATTGTATTATTCAGATTTTAATACTAATTCCCCAGATTATATTGCAAACATGTAATAGTGTTTATAGAATGTAAAATGTGAAGATAACAGTGCCTGGTAAGGCCAAACATCAGGTGGGGCCAATAGCCCCACTATTCATAAAATGATGGATCCATTTTGAAATTTAAGGGGCTGAGAGGAATTACATTGGGGCCATTCTGTTATATATCATATAATGATGCTATGATAATGCATAATTCTCTGACAACAAAATTTAGGAAAATGAAAAAAATGCAATAGGAATTGACAAATCAAATGACATTGTCTACTGGAAATGATTTTTCTGTTTTTAAAAACATGGACCCCTGTAAACACCAAAGATGGGATCAGGTGACTTGGAGGAGTAAGCATTCCCTGTTGTCTGGTCACACCCACTGTGATCCCTATATGTTGATCAGGAATATGGAATACTTTGTAGTGAAATTTAGTATAAAAGCAATGACCTAACAAATAGTATAAAACATGTCAGACAAAATACAACCCAACACTAGGCTGTAATTACAAATAAGGTCATTATAATGACCATAGAATTTCTGAAAAGCTGACTTTAAACAGGGTTGTTGAAATCCTTGTAGCATCAACTTATTTGTTAGTAATTGCCTTGGTTAAAAAAATGATCATAACTAATATTACTACGTAAATAAGAAAAATTGACCATGGCAAAGCTGAAGTCATTCCATTCAACAAACAGTTTAGTTACTAGAAAATAGTATTTTCCCTGGATTGTATTATCTTATAGGGTTTGCAGAAATATTTCCTGTAATCCTGTAATTGTACTTGTATACATGTATTACATTATAAGGTCATAAGAGTTATTTTCCTTGATAGTATTACATTATAAGATTTGTAGATTTATTTCCCAAGATTGTATCATAGTATTTTAATTACAGAGCACAGCGGAGGTGGACCCAGGATTAAGTCGATTAAGACTGTCAACTAGAGCTGTGAGTATAAATTTTTGTTCAGTGCTAAACTGTGGGTAGTATTAAATACACTAGAGCTGTGAGTATCAATTTTTCTTCAGTGCTAAACTGTTAGGGGTGAAACGATACACCTCCTTCACAGTTCGATATGTATTGTATAATGTTGTCTTGGTACGGTTATTTTCGATACGATACATTTTGATAGAAGGAAACAAATTCAACGTTGTTTTATGCTTTCTTTTACTAAATCTAGTCACTTTATTTACAAATTTTATTTGCAAATTGACTAGAAGAAATTAATAAGAATTATTTTACAAACTATCAGTCCTCAAAAATTTTCGTTTTCTATTCTTACTTATACTGAGTAACGTGTTTTACCTTATGCCAAACCCGACTGAATAATGATCCCAGCCGAAAAATGATCCGAACAGAAAATTAGAGATTTTCACAATGTATCAAACCGAGAAAAAATACCGCGGTGAACCGTTTCACTCCTATAAACTGTGGGTACAGTATTAATGTTACAGAATGTACTTTTATGTAAAGTTTTCACATAGATTTTATAAAACCAGGCACCCAGTGCAGGGCTTTCAAAATCAGCTGGTACTCGGTACTTTTACCCAAAATCTTAATTATACCGGCCAAAAAATATTCAATGGAGAAAAATTTGATAACATTTTCATTTTTCAAATTATAGCTTTATATTGTCTTTTGTCCACACATATAAATGTTTTTGATTGGTTAGTCAGTGGAAATCAATAAGACATTTGAATATATATAGCTTATGGCTTAAGTGAGCTTGTCAACCTTGATGAAAACAAATGCAGGTATCAATACTTTTTAGAGATGTTTAAAATGGCTAAAACTTCATCTTTGTCATCTTCTGTTGAGTTTTCCCTTTCTCTGATGCCTAGATTATCTACCTGCCCATTGGACTTTTGCGAGAAGCGCTGACTTTTACAATCAACGGCTTACTTTTACACTAGGACAGTATATGGAAGCTCTTTTGCGATATTAATATTATGCTTAAGGAGGGATTCTTCTCATATTTCTTGTTTTTAAAAATTAATGAATTTTTCACAGATTCAAGAAGACATTATCACTGGGTGATGGTATCAATTAGATTAAATTTGACCATTTATTTTAGAAGCAAGGTCAGGTCAAGGTCATTATCTTTTTCCTTCACAATAAAAATAAAAAGTTACTGTTGCCGTTCATGCAATGCCTACCGTACTTCTATTTCAAAAGTTTAAATGCTTTTCTTTTTTTGCATAAAAAGATACATGTACTACCATATAAGGTCTTTCAGATGATACTACCAAATCCAAATGAATAATTCAACTAAAATAGATATTGGCTAATCCAAATTTCCTCTATATTTCTTAAATTTTTAGGATATATTAGTTATTTTAATATGCTTCGTATATTTAAATTTTTCTTATTTTCATATATTATGGTAATTTTAAAGTAGTCATATAAAGATACAAACTGATACAAATACAAAAAGTTTTGACCATTTACTTAGTGAGAAAAAACACTGTTTACAGATTTTTTGCTCAAATCTATACTTAGATTGGAAGCTTAATCCCCTATTATCAATTTTACTTGCATTTAAAATTTTTTGTAAAGTCTTTGATTGTTTAAAGATTTTAACGAAATTCATTGTTCTGTAGTAATGTTAAGAAACAGAAAAGGAGATATTTTCATACGCTGTCGTTCCGCCAAAAATATAGTCCCTGCTATATTTCAAATTCAGTTTACCATTTCTTTTTTGACTTGTACAACTATGATGAGGAAAGAAAAATATGATTTTTTAAATCCCTTACATCTAAAAGTATTAGACCTATAAATGAATATACTTTGAATATCTCATCTAGTCAGAAACCAGATGAGAATCCCTCCTTAACAGTTAATTAAACGATGATAATGGGTCATTTCGAAGCACATATTATGTCGTCTAGGAAGGGAACGGCAACCACCCTACCCTCAACCCCTCTCTTCCCAAATTGACCAACTCTTGCTTAGTTTTCCTTCCGGAATGTTTTTTTCTTCCTTATTTGATTCCTCCAGAAACTGAGATTGAAAGGAGATACTACCCCTTTCAAATAAGGTAATTTATAAGTTAATATGTAATTCTGCCTCCCATCATCTCTTGCATTGATTGCATCATGTAAGTGCCCCTAACACCATACCTATAACCACTATTAAGGTTTTCTTGTCTATTATCAATTCCGTACCTCCATACATTAGGCAGGTTTAAATGTCAAAGTAAGCCATTGACTGTAAAAGTCAGTGCTTCCTGCAAAAGTCCATTAAGTGGAACCTATACCAGCAAACGTTTGAAGGGTATGGAAATCCGGAAAAATGCTTTCATGAAACCTCTATGCCTTATCTGAGGATCTATAAAATTACACAAAATAAAGGCAGAGCTTTGTAATTTTAACAACTGATAGAATACAACTTTCTTCTAAGATAATTCTAAACAATAGAGACGATTATAAGGCTTAATATGTTTTTCTTAAATGATCATATTGAGCATGAAAGTTGACATTTGATTAAACATTTTACAGAGCAAATATATAGTCAGCACAAGCCCAGTAGATAAGGTCTGATTCTCTATTGTATTGTAGTTTGTTGTTTGTTTAACCAACTGTTCATCCATCAAAGAACAGAGTTCACTCAGAATTTAAGAAATATATATGTGTATCTATTGTCTATTGTCTGTTCATTTGACTGTGTAATAAAGAATGTCTAAAATGCTTATTCTCCAATAATTTATGTCTGAATAGTGAATAATACTTGGCAGTTGACATGAAGTTACAGGTTTATCTCTAAGATTTGAAATACATCAGGGGACATTAAAAAAAAGTAGAAAGGAGTCTGGGGTTCCTCTCATAAGAGAGGATTGAGGTGGAATACCAGAATAACGGGGGGATAATGTCACTTTCGACGGGAAAATTACCAGGCCTCCGGGTCTTAGGGACAACCTTGTAGTTACCAAATTTTTATGCCCCCCTTCGAAGAAGGGAGGGCATGTTGCTTTGCTGCTGTCTGTCGGTAGGTTGGTCTGTCTGTCTGTTTGTCTGTCTGTCTGTTGGTCCATCAACAGTTTTCATTCATTTTCTTCACAGAGGTTGCACATACTGAAATGAAATTTGGTATACAGATTTATCATAAGAATATCTAGGTCTAGTTCTGTTTTGGGTATGATCGAGCAATTTTTGACAGAGTTATCCCCTTTGGACTTAGAAAAATTCCAATTATTTGAGGGGGGCATAAGTGTTTTACAAACATCTCTTGTTCTTTAATGGTTTTATACCCCTCACATGAAAAGTGGAAGGGGGGTATATAGTGGTAGGGGTGTTTGTTCTTCCATCCATAGGTCCTTTCGTCTGTACGTCTATATATCTGTAACACTTTGGGGTTACCCATCTCTTATCCACAACTCCTTCTATACCACTGAATAAGATTAAATAAGACTTTCACAGAATCTTTATTACATAGTGCTATTATATATCTCTCATTTTATGTTCTCTGATTGGACAGATATTTAGGGTTTCTCAACAAAAAATGGACTATGCCATTATACTCAAATGGGAGTGTGTGGGGGGGGGGGGGGGTGGGTGGGAGTGGGGGTATCATTTTGTGAAGTCAGTGCTCACAGTACCTCAAGGTTAATTACAATGTCTTGAATATGTTGCCATTGTTACAACCCCCCATCCCCCCTCCCCCCAAAAAAAGAGTAACCTGATAACTTCATTAATCAATGTTGTCAGTTACTGGAAAATAGTAAAACACCTTGAATAATTAAAAGTGCTACTTGTCTTTTATTTTTTTTCTTATTTCATAACTTTGAGCCAAATTTATCATGGTCCCGTTGGGTTAGGTGGAGGCATAATAGTGGGTCAAAGTTTATATTTGTATGGGAATAAATAGAAAATTTTTAAAAAAAAAAAAAGAGTTTTTAAGAATAGCAGGACTACAGTAAATCATATTAATATTTAATCATTCCCACAAGTTATGTGGATTCAGGTTATTTTATGTTCCTACCATGAAATGGCTGTGGTATGTAGTATTGTCCCTTTCTATCATTCTGTCATTCCATCATTCTATCATTCTGTCACTCCATCATTCTGTCATTCCATAGATATTTTTTGGACTTTTTTTACTGTGCTTGTAGATGAGCTGATTTTTGGTATATCTCTTGATACTGGTAATCAAGTTTGAGTTTTTTGTTAAATGAGCTATTTTAACAACAGTTATGGCCCTTAGACTTTGAAATTTTTTAATAGTTCACCGTTTTTCTAGATTTATGTTTTTGATTATTGGTATGTCTCTTGATGTTGATGAGTTACAGATCAAGTTTTATATTGATTGACTCATATTTTAGCTCTCCTAAGCTGAAAACTACTAACTCTTCAAATTATGGACCCTGGGATTGTGTCACTTTGGTTAAAATTGGGGATCATATTTTACAAATGAATGTATACTGGTAAAATATTTGTAAAATAACTTCATATTAGCAATGACATGTTGTCACCATTGTCATATTGACACTGAAGCATCCCCATGTTGTGTGGATTCAATTTCTTTTAGGTCATGACCTCTTTGGAGATGCAGGATGAGGTCAAATTTTTATGGAATTCTTTTTAAATTCTCAGGAACATTAGTTGGGCCAAAGTAATTCAGATGAGCATTGTGGCCCATGTTCCTCTTGTTTAATGAATTAAATTAAGCACCATGATTTTATCTGTTAATATAAGTAGTGTCCTTTGCATTAACTTAATTAGTGTTACATGTATATTTGATTTAAAATTTCTTCCTTCATAGTTGTTTACCCTGGGTAATTGAGCTTCTATTTCTATCAAAAGGACAAAAGAAGTTTTCTGTAAATATTTGATTCAAAATACAATTCCAGAAATTATAGATTGTGAAAGCTAAGCAATAGATGTTTTTATGCTACATAAATACTTAATAGATAATTATCAGTGGGGGGAAAAATCTGGTTTATGAAGCAAATATGAAGAGACTGTGGTTATTTTTAGTGTACGTTGGTCACAAGGTGAAGACTTGTTAGGAGACTATGATTCACCTGTGGTATCTACCTGCTGTTTGTGTCAGCTTCCATTGAAATATTGATTATTCCTGTCTCACACTCACATATAACTCCAAATCTACTGCCAGCTGGTCATTTATTTTGTACTGAAATCCTCTGCGGAATATTTATTTGGCTAATACAAAATGGTAACCTGGAATGATAGATCAGGGAAATCTTATTGTTTGATTGATAGCCCTGTATACTGCTTCTGTCTCACCCTAGCCATTGTCTCTATATTGTACCTGTTTATATGTTGTTCTTAAGAAAGAAGTATGATGTTCAGTGAATATTTTTCATTATGCATTTTATACAGAATAATTTTCTTTCATTTATTGTACATCTTGGTTCTTCATTACATGGGCTTGGTGATCAGGTGAAATTGATCAGTAGAAAAAGGCATTATGATATTGATAAGTTATCAAGTAAATGTATTATGTATTTCATTTGTAAAAAATGATAAGGAAATATCATTACATGTCCTTTTTGATCAGTATTGTAACTTGCTTATCAGAGGCTCAAACAGATCTTTAATAGCTGTATCCTCTATTGTAGCCCCAGCAGGCTCCAGTGTCCCCACCCACCCAAGTCCCCACTGGTCCTGTCAACCCATCAGCGGAGCAGATGACCAAGTTAAAAACAGAGCTAAACGTAGTCCAAGGTAACCTCCGAGTAATGAGTGAGATGTTAACGGAACTGTCTCCTTCTAATATTGACCCTTCAGATCTAGAGCTCTTACAAGAACTCAACAGGACAAACAGACAGATGCAGCAGCGATTGGTGGAATTAATAGACAAAATAGCTAATGAGGAGGCTACAAGTAAGTCACATGACTTTTTTGTCACACATATGTTGAATTGTTGATCACCGACATCTGTTCTTCTGTCTCACTATCTGGGAGGAGTAATACTTATACAAAAATACTCATCAGATCAAATCTTAGAATTTCCATGTGATATTATTTAGCAGGTTTAGTGAGATAAATGCTTGAATGAGTTCAAGGTCTAATCAAATGTCAAGGTCATGGCTGGTGATATCGGGTCACTTGGTAACAGGTGCCTTTGTTGCTCAAACTAGGCTATGGATTTCTGTGCATGAACTTGAGAATCTACAATTGGTTTCGGGGGTCAAAGGATAACTACTGTTGCTTTGAATAAAATTTTTGGCAATTACTTTCAGATGCTTAGGATTTAGATGTTTATATCTATACAGTGTATTGTTCTAATGAAGTGGGGTCAGAAAAGAAAACTTTAAGGGTGTGGATTTTTTTGCTAAAAATAGAATTTTTTGGCAATAGCAAAAAAAAAAAAAAAATAATAAGGGTAGGGTATTTTATAATTTATATTAAAAATTTCTCTGATGAAGAGGTAGACAGGGAGTGTTTCTGGGAATAACATGTTTTGCTTCAAGTCCAATTTTCGTATCTATGCTTTAGGTTGATCAAGCGTTTTCCAGGATATTTTGGGTCCTTGAGACCAAAGGGCATGGGTTTTTTCCTCAAAATAAAGATTTCATCAAAAATGAAAACATGCAATTATTTGCTCATAATATTGTCATATAAAGAGAGAAAGATGAACAATTCTGAGGATTCTCAGGATTATGCTTAGGTGGTGGTCTAGGCTCTTACTAAATTTGAATCCAGAAAGTTTTATGTTGTCTTAATTTCTTTAGTCAACTAAATATTATGAAGTAATTTTCCTTTTCATACATTTTGTTTAATAGATGAGCTTTTACGCATTAATGATGACATGAATAACGTGTTTCTGAGATACGAGCGGTTTGAACGATATCGAACGGGACAATCCGGGCAGCAGTCCTCCCAGCCCTCAGAACCCTTACCCTCCGAAAGTGTGTCACCACCCTCATATGAACAGGTCAGTATCCCCTCCTACAGACTTACAGATAGAAAAACACTTTAATTTTGAAGATTAAATGGTATGAATTTAATGATCTTTCAACTGCCACTATAGAACATTGAATTAAAATGAGCTAAAGTTCTTATTCTTCTCTGTAAAAAGTCCATTTTTTAGATGAGTAGTGAATTCACTGTGCTAGAGGATTCTATAGCACTACTTTTGTTTCTGATGGAGTATTTTGCTTCATATGTGTATGCTCCGATTGTGTTCATTACAAACTAGAGATGGTATCGCCAAACATTTTGTATCGCGATTTATCACAATTTTTTTTTTAAATATCACAATAATATGATATTTTTACACATTCTTTTTACTCTGATTTTAAATGAATTTCCATGATTTTTCTTATAAATAAAGTGTGAATAACATATCTGCACTTTTTTCATTTTTATTTATATACCGGTACTAAAAAAGCATGTTTGGATGCTAGGATGCAATTGTTTTACTGTTTTACAACATTTTTACAATTCCTGTATTTGTAATTCAAGAAATTGAACCCAAAAAAATTATTTACGGAATTTATAATTACATTCTAAATACCAGTATATTAGTCTCCATATCACGATATGTATCGCGCAATAAAATATCACAATATACTGGTATATCGATAAAATCGCACATTCCTATTACAAACATATGACACGTTGTTTATACAGTCTATACATATAATTAGGTTTTCCTCACTACAGGTGGGGATATTGCATTGGTATGATTGTCTGTCTGGCTACCTGTCAATATGTCTGTCAGAGCATCAAGTCCAGCTCATAACTTGAATCCTTTGTTATAAACGGTTTGAACTGTTTTACGTTATTACCTTTGAACTATTGACCTAAAGGTTTGTCATGATCTAGATTCAAATTCAGATCTCCAAGGTCAAGTCCACTGGGCAATGAGGTAGTGAAATCATGTACAGTCCCTGAATCATGAAAGCTTTGTTAGAATGGGTTTGAACGCTTAGAATGTTATTACTCATGTACCATTGATCTAAAGCTTTGAGATGATCAAGACTCAGAGATGTCAAAGGTCAAGGACACTGGGCAATCATTTGGTATTTTGTTGCCCTTGGCGTAATGGTGTTTCATGATCTTTACTAAATTCATTTGGAACAGGTCAAGGTTACTTGTCAATGGGCAGTGAGGTAATGAATTAGTTTCCATGTTATGGTTTATGAACTCTTGATTTGAATATTAGTATTTTATTAATAAAGATGCATCATTTCATTTCAACTTGCATTTTGACTTTATAGACACTTTAAGTGTTTCTGATGACCCAGAGGTGTATCTTAAATTCAAAGTTATTTTTTAGCTCACCTGAGCTGAAGGCTCAAGTGAGCTTTTCTGATAGAAATTTGCCCGTTGTCTTTCGTTGTTGTCGTCATCGTTGTAGCTGCAATAATGTAGCCCTCTCAATTTTTTTTTTAATCTGATATTTTCAGGAGAGGGCTACAATTCCACTGCATCTCCGTAATGGTGCAAATATATTTTTAAGATACGGTCGACTGCAGGCAAAATAAATTGTTTTTGCATTCAACTTACTTCCAATAAGACGGAATTTTTATTCATTTTCAACATCATAGCCCTTTATAAGCGAAAACTAAGTAAAATAAATCTGCGTGTTTACCAGTCGTTCTCTTCAGCAGCCATGACAGTTCTCGCGTGATGTACAGAGACTTGCGCTTGAATTTTAGATGCACTTGATAAAGTAAATTTCGTGTTGATAAATGTTTGTGTTGTATGATATCACTAAACATCAATAAATAAAAGCATCCCATGTGATTTTTTTTTTTCATAAACAGTGATATATATGCTTAAAATAAGGGAAATCCTAAACGAAAAGCTCCCCTAGATCCCAATTTCTCATTGGTTGTCCCAAAATAAAATCGATCAAGGTCAGTAAACATGGCGGATAAATTCAAGTTGTGATGTTGACATACACGATAAATAACCGATATACGGATTGTTCTTTATATTTTTGGATCAATTCATGTCTTGCATAACTACATTTTTTGAGTTCGGGTAAGATATGTTAATAAAATACCCACTTACTGATAATTTGAGCCGAAATCTGTGCGGTAGTGAATCATTCCTGCACTAGCACCATTACGGAGATCCTAAGGAGTTGTAGCCCTCTCCCCAAAAAAAAAAAAAAAAAAATCAGAGAGGGCTACATTATTGCAGCTATCGTCGTTGTTGTCGTAAACTTTTCACATTTTCATCTTCTTCTCAAGAACCACTGGGCCAATTTCAACCAAACTTGCCACAAAGTACTGTAGATTCCTTATTTTTCGCGAGTACTTATTATCGCGAAATGGCTCTTTCACGTCAAATCGCGAGAACAGTAATTCGCGAGTGGACGGTTGATCAAGGGATTTTACATCGATTTCAACACCATAAAAATAAAAGCGAGAAATTTTATTTTGCGAGTGGTGCTTCTTGCGTAATTACGCGATAATTAATTCCTCGCGTATATTTAGGAATCTACAGTATCCTTGGGTAAAGGGGATTCAAGTTTGTTCAAATGAAGGGCCATGCCTTCTTCCAAGGGGAAATAATCATGAATTTGTGAAAAATTAATGGCATCATTTAAAAATCTTCTTCTCAAGAACCACTGTGCTTGAAAATATGAAACTTAAGTGGAAGCATCCTCAGGTAGTGTAGATTCAAGTTTGTTCAAATCATGATCCCCCGGGAGTAGGATGGGGCCACAACGGGCGATCAAAGTTTTACATAGGAATATATAGGAAAATTCTTTAAAAATCTTCTTCTCAAGAACAACAAACCCATGATTAGTCATATTTTTTATGGAAGCATCCTCAGGTAGTGTAGATTCAAGTTTGTTCAAATCATGATCCCCAGGGGTAGAGTGGGGCCACAACGGGCGATCAAAGTTTTACATAGGAATATATAGGAAAAATCTTTAAAAATCTTCTTCTCAAGAACAACAAAGCCATGATTGGTCATATTTATATGGAAGCATCCTCAAGTAGTTTAGGTTCAAGTTTATTCTAATCATAACCCCGGGGGGTAGAGTGGGGCCACAATGGGCAATCAAAGTTTTACATAGGAATATATAGGAAAAATCTTTAAAAATCTTCTTCTCAAGAACAGCAAGCCATGATTGGTCATATTTATATGGAAGCATCCTCAAGTAGTGTAGGTTCAAGTTTGTTCCAGTCATGACCCCCGGGGATAGGGTGGGGCCACAATGGTCGATCAAAGTTTTACATAGGAATACATAGGACAAAGCCTTTTAAAATCTTCTTCTCAAGAACAGCAAAGCCATAATTAGTCATATTTAAATGGAAGCATCCTTGAGTAATGTAGATTCAAATTTTGTTCAAATCATGACCCCCCAGGAGAATAGAGGGGTCATAACAGGGGATCATAGTTATACAAAGGAATACAAATGATAAATCAATAAAAATTAAATTGTCTTCTTAAGAACAGCATATCCATTATTTGTCATATTAATTAAAAAGCATCCCCTTGAAGTATAGATTCAAGTTCAAATCAACACCCACCCACCAACCCCCTCGAACCACTTTTATATCGAAACTTTTCAAGACTGAACTGATTTCTGCTTTTTCCAAGCCAGAGTGCTCAGGAGAGTGATGTGGCCCCTGGGCCTCTTGTAAAGATCAAGGATGCTAGGTAATAAAAGAAAAACTGTGCTTTACCATGATAGAAAATATATTTAAACTAGGGATGGCAATCAAATACAGAATTGCTACAGGTAATCAGTTAACTGCAAGATGTTTCGGTTAACTGAATTTTTCTTGATAATTTTTTTCAAGAAAGCTCTATTCATATATGCAAGAAAACATAAAAAAAAAAATGGCATTAGTGATATTCTATTTATATTTGATCAAAACCCAATAATACATTTTATTTCTAATTACATAGAAATAAGTAAATTTAAAAAACCATAAAACATGCCTGATATATCAGAGATAATAATAATTTTTCAGACAAGATGTCATATAAACTCATTCTGCATTGTCACCTTAATCAGATCTAAGTCTGAACTATTTTTGATTAACATTGTTAATGACTTACTGGACCTATCAGGACCTTGACTCAGGATCATATCTCAAATGACGATCAAAAAAAATAATTGGGGAAAGGAGACATGCATTTTTGTCTGCAACAAAAAGCCCGGCAAACAAACATCTAGGCCTACATTTTATTTTCAGGCGTCCTCACCTGGACCCGTCCCTTCACAGCCTGCCCCAGCTGTAGGAAATCTCATTGACCTAGGGGATGACACCCATGTCCCAGCCCCACAGCTGGCCCCACAAGTTACATCACAGATGGCCAATCTAGGTAAGAAATCCTATAGGTGAATAGAGGCAGATGGAAAAGTTGTTACAAAATACATGTATCACCATGGTTGACAGTGCTTACCAAATTGCAAAAGGGTTACATAATGTCACTTAAAATATAATATGAAATAAATTCAAATTGTACTCTGCAATATCTATTGTCTCCATTAGGTATTATTGTGATTGATTTGTACTCTTTACTTGTACAGAAAAAAATCACGTTGTTGTTTTCTTGGTAGATATTGGAAGCAATTCAGCGCCGAGCACAGGTCACAATGATGATGATTTTGATATGTTTGCCCAATCCAGACAGTCCTTTGATACCAATAGACAGACAATGGGGTAATTAAAAAATATCTGTAACAACACATCTGTGAGGCAAGAACTCAATTAAACATTGTCTACTGTTCATTTAAGATCAGTAACTAAATCTTGGCATGACAAAATGTAAAAATTTTATGTTTTAGAAGTTACGCAAATCAGCAGGAGGACCAGTTTAATAAAGCTGGATTAGGAGCTGTGGTCAACTCCAAAAACAATGTAAGTCATTTCTTATGACACCAGTATGCTAAGAAAGTGAATAGGTTCCGTGCCATGAACACTAAATCTTAAGAATTTTAAAGCATGTTTATGAAGAATGATTTGTCAAAATGCCTTTTCAGTTTACAACAGATGAGGAAGTATTACAGGTAATAAGGAATGATTGTAGTGGCAGAATTACGCTGGTTCTCGGCTTCATTTCTTTGCTTTACTGTAATCAACTCTCATACTTGATAACATTTAGTGTGCTGGATTCTGGGAATTCACTAACGTACATGTAAAACTAGCTCATCAGCCTCTGAAGTTAATCAGTTTTAGCTCACTTGAGATGAAAGCTCAAGTGAGTTTTTCTGATCAACTTTTGACTGGCATCTGTCTGTCTGTAAACTTTTCACATTTTCAATTTCCTCTCAAAACCATTGGATCAATTTTAACCAAAGTTGGCACAAAGCATCCTTGGGTTAAGGGGATTCTAAGATTTTAAATTGTTCAGATGAAGGGTCCTTTTCCAAGAGGACATAATCATGAAAAGGCAAAATAGGTTGGGATCATTGATAAATCTTCTTTACAAGAACCACTGGACCAGAAAATATGAAATTTTAATGAAAGCTTTCTAGGATAGTTTAGATTCTAAATTGTTCAAATCATGGTCCCAGGGATAGGGTGGGGCCAAAAGTTTTACTTTGAAATATATAGGAAAAAAATCTTTAAAAAACTTCTTAAGAACCACTGGACCAGAAAAGATGATATTTATTTGAAAGCTTCTTTGGGTAGCATAGATTATAAATTGTACAAATCATGGCCCCCTGGAGGGAAGGTTTGGGCCATAGTAGGGGGATCAAATGTTTACATTGAAACATAAAGGAAAAAATCATTTGAAAAAATCTTTTCAAAAACCAATGTACCAGAAAAGATCAAACTTGTGTGAAATCCTCTTAATATAATGTAGATTCTAGATTGTACAAATCATGGCGGTGGGGGAGGGGGGGGCACAATAGGGGATCAAAGTTTTACATGGGACTATCTAAGAAAATTTTTTAAAAATCTTCTCTAGAACCACAATAGAACCATTAATTCGCAAACATTCCCAAGTTGTGTGGATTCAATTTTTTTTTCAAGTTATGGATCCTGGGTTAAAGTGGCTTAAATCAGGATCAAATTTAAAATAATGCATGTATATAGGAAAAGAATTTTCTTATCCATGACTGCAAGGTCATCTTAGTTATATTGAAACATCCTCATGCCATGTGGATTCAGAGACCTTTTAGACCATAATATGGGATCACAATGTTTCATGGGAATATTTTTTTTTAGAAATCTGAGGATTACAGCAAGGTTTAAGTTAGTCAGGTGAGTGTTGTGGCCCATGGGCCTCTTGTTACAGAAACCAGAGATACACTGTAAATTTTGAAGAAATTTCAAATTATGTTTTTTTTAACATTTATTGTCATTGTTCAGATTCTTATAAATCACTGCTCTGTGAGGCTATTTTCACAATTCTTTGATTTTATTTTAAATCTATGAGAGAAAAAGTTACCTTAGTTTTTTCTCATTTTATTTTAATGTTTATCAGCTATTTGTTGAACATGTTGTGAATTATAGTCACTGTAGACACAGTCACATCGTTAACATTTTGGGTACATTTGCTAACTCATGTAAATCTGTGTTAAGTATACAGGGAGGAGTTTAACTAAGGGATGATTTGATTGACATGTGTACATTACAGCTCATATGATAGGCATATAGGGAGGAGTTTAACTAAGGGTTGATTTGATTGACGTGTGTACGTTACAGCTCATATGATAGGCATATAGGGAGGAGTTAAACTAAGGGTTGATTTGATTGACATGTGTATGTTACAGCTCACTAAAGAAGAGGAGGAGGTCCTTAAGGTAACAAGTCATGCATGAGGAAGCATGGTCAATGACCAGGGATCACTCATCCGTGACATGGTCAGATCCATAGTCAGAAGAATGTCACCTTCAGAACCTAATATTTTTGTTCTCTATTTAGTGTATACACAAAAAAAGACAGATTCTGTTTTACTTTCACTTTTGATTTGAGAAGTACAGACAGGCCATATGTGTGTTATACGTATATTGCCACGAAGAAGCAGCAATGCATTCTGACCTTGCTTTATAGAAATGGGAAGGGAATTCAGAAGTTTTTTCTAAAAATGCATGATCATAATTTTTCTCAGCTCAAAGTAGTTGCTGTGTCTGTAAATTACACCTTTTTTTTCACTTAACTCATTTTGTGTTTTAAAAAGTGGCACATTTCCTCTGAGTCAGATTTATTAGCTCTTCTGAGCCAAAGGCTCAAAGAGCTAATGCTATGGCTATTTGTGCGGTGTGCGTAAACTTTTTAGAATATGGGCCATATCTCAAGAACCCCTTGGCCAATTATTGTCAAATTTGTCACAGGGTATCCTTGGCCCAAGGGCTCCCTTTTATACTAAAACTGGGGTTGTGACCCTTTAACAAGGGGAGATAATTAGGAAAATAGAAACAAAAGTACTGGTTGCTAAAAAATCTTCTTCTCTAGAACCACTGGGCAGATTATCACCAAACTTACACAAAAGGATGAGGATATGTTGTAGATTAAAATTTGCACGGGGATTTACCCTGGGGCAAAGGGCGTGGTCTCAAGGTCACTTCAAAGTTGACCAAAAATTACATTTTATTAAAATGTTGATATTTTGCTTACTATAAGGACTAGGATCATCAAATCTTGTCAGTTGGTGCATCTAAGGACCTCATATCATGTTGACTCAAAAGTAGGTCACGGTGACCTACTTTTTAAATTTTGCGGCCATTCTTTTTCAAAATGATTTAGAGGCAAATTTTGAACAATTTAAGGCCTATGATCATCAAACTTTGTCAGTTGATACATCTTGGGTCCTCAAAGTACGTCAACTAAAAAGTAGGTCACCTTGACTTACTTTTTGAATTTTATGGCTAATCTTTTTTAAAACAATTAAGGTCATTAATTCGAATACGGGGAGGCTTAGAATCATTAAATCTCGTAAGATGATGCATCTTTGGGCCATAAAACATATTTATTAAAAAGTAGGTCACAGTGACCTACTTTTTGAACTTTGCAGGCATTCGATTTCAAAGCGTTTTAGAGGCATAATTTGGACATTTAAAGTCCTATGATCATAAAACTTTGTAAGTTGATGCATCTTGGATCCTCAAAAAAGGTCAACTGAAAAGTAGGTCACCATGACCTACTTTTCAATTTATATGACTATAATTAAATATTTCAGGTACTAATCGGCTTAGAATCATCAAACTTTGTCAGTTGATGCATCTTGGTTCTTCGGAGTAGGTCGACTAAAAAGTAGGTCACAGTGACCTACTTTTGAAAATTTATGGCGTTAATTAAATATTTCGGGTACTAATTGGCTTAGAATCATCAAACTTTGTCAGTTGATGCATCTTGGGTCTTCAGAGTAGGTCGACTAAAAAGTAGGTCACCGTGACCTACTTTTGAAAATTTATGGCTTTAATTAAATATTTCGGGTACTAATTGGCTTAGAATCATCAAACTTTGTCAGTTGATGCGTCATGGGTCTTCGGAGTAGGTCGACTAAAAAGTAGGTCACCGTGACCTACTTTCGGAAAATTTATGGCTTTAATCAAATATTTTGGGTACTAATTGGCTTAGAATCATTAAACTTTGTCAGTTGATGCGTCTTGGGTCCTCGGAGTACAACAACTGAAAAGTAGGTCAGGATGACCTACTTTTGAAATTTTATGGCTGTATTTAATATTTTCAGGAATTATTTGGCTTAGAATCATCAAAATTTGTCAGTTGATGCATCTTTGGTCCTCGGAGTAGGTTGACTGAAAAGTAGGTCACCATGACCTACTTTTGAAAATTTATGGCTGTAATTAAATATTTTGGGTACTTATTGGCTTAGAATCATCAAACTTTGTCAGTCGATGTATCTTTGGTCCTCGGAGTACAGCAACTGAAAAGTAGGTCACGGTGACCTACTTTTTTTTTTTTTTGAAAATTTATGGCTTTAATTAAATATTACAGGTACTAATTGGCTTAGAATCATCAAACTTTGTCAGTTGATGCATCTTTGGTCCTTGGAGTAAAACAATTGAAAAGTAGGTCACTTTGACCTACTTATAAAATTTTATGGCTATAATTTTAAAAAATATGTTAGGTATTTATTGGCTTAGAATCATCAAACTTAGTTGATGGGTCCTCAGAGAATGACAAGTGATAAGTAGGTCACCATGACCAACTCTCAGGTACTAATTGGCTTAGAATCATCTTGGGTTCTCAGAGTGTGAATTGGAATTTCAAGGGTTTATCTAAATATACAGGATACTTCGAGGCTTCAAATAGAAGTGATAGGTTGTACAGTTTATCAGAAGAGCGATTCAAGGCCCATGGGCCTCTTGTATGTACAGAAGGATGTTGCTGTAACATTAACACAGATGCTATTACCTTAAGAAACATAAACAGATTGAAACTTGGATATTTTGATATTTGGATCAGATACATTTTTATGTGAAATATTTGCCAATGACAATAGTAAGCTTATACATGTATCACTGTAGGAATATAGACTATTCTAAGCCATTATATATGAGGAACATTATTACAGAAATAACATTTTATTAAATGACATTTGAAATTTAGCCTGCAGAAAAAAATTACTCAGAATGCAGATGTGTAGTCAATGGAAATATGTCAAGTATTAATCATTTCAGCTTACTCGATTGTTCAAGTGGGCTTTTCTGATCAAAGTTAAGTCAGTCTGTCCTGTACAATTAGGCTCGAGTCACTTAGAAATCTTAAATAACTAAACAATAAAGAAAACAAAAAAAGAAAAGATTCCTAATAGTGTAGATTCATATTTGTTCAAAGTTGTGTCTCATACATAAGTTATGGTGGTTTCAATGGGGGAGGGGGGATAAAGTTTACTTAAAACTTTGTAAGAAATATCTTTAAAAACTTTTAAATTTTCAAAAAGTGCAGGAACTAATTTAAATCATACTAATTTGAATGGAGTCTTTAATCCTTGTAAAGAGTAAGGCTTTCTAATTTATATGTCCTTAGGAGCCAAAGTGAGCAATGTAGTCATCCCCATGTGGTATAGATATAATTGTATTCAAAATATGACCCATAAAGTATAGGTGGGTCAATTAAGGATCATAATTTCTCAGTTTCATCAGAATACATGCAATTTTGAAAACAAATATTTTCTAGAACACAAATTGATCTGCAAGCATCCCCATGTAGAGGAGAGTAAAATTTGTTCTAATTATAGCCTCTGGGACGGGGATGGAGCCACAGTAAAGGGGGGGGTTGATTTCTACCTAATATTGTATTCAATTTTTTTAAAAGTATTTTTTCAAGTTCAGCAATCTCTTGTGTATGGTATAATTTCCCACACAAGTTTCATGTTGATGATAACAATACCTTAAAAACATAAAATTTAAAAGTACAAAATTTGGAGAAAATGGCAGATGCTTTCTATACAGGCACACAGAGAGATCAAAAACTATGTGGAGCATGGTATGAATCTGCAAAGATGAGCATTTAATGATACATGTAAAAACAAAATCTGGAGATTAGTCTTGATTGTCAGCCCAGACAGAGATTGGTTTAATTATTAGTGTATTTTATAATTAGCCCTTTCACATTAATGTATTGCAGGGCAAATTGATGTACCTTTGGCAAAGCTTTTTTGCTTGATAATTAAATGACATTTATTAAACAATTGCTGTTATATCATTTTTCACCAAACTATATCAATTTGCCCTGCAAAAGAGCAGTACTACAGTACAATTATCGTCTATTGGTGAAGCATCACAAGTGCCGTATGGCTAACTTAGAGTGGCATTTCTTTGAAAAGAATATTGCTGTTGCTATGAACATGATTACTGTTTCATGGCGTATGCTGACTTCAGATATTATCTTATTATTTTCTTTAGATAAGAATTATCATGATAATCATTGATGTAAAAGAAAAATTACTCGAGGTTTATAAAATTTTTCATATAAATGTTACGTTTTCCTTTTTTTTTAAAAAGAAATAAAACAAAGATGCCTACAATTTTCAGGGTCAACCCTCTATATATAGACTTTGTAATATTATTGTACATTTATATGGTAGAAATGTCCTTTAAGTGTGTAGCCAAAAAGGGGATTCATTGAGTATTGTGGCTCATTGGCTTCTTGTTTAGTGCTTGAAATATGTATTGAATGATTGTATTGTACTAACTTTTAATAATATGTCTTTTAAACCTAATAAATATATTGATTTTATTTTTTTTTTGAAGGGGAAAAAATCTTAGCAAAAATGAATTTAATCAACCCACACCTATTCTTTTTCAAAGCCAAACTTTTGGTACAGTTTTTGGATTTGACAATATTAATACATTATGGTCTCTTGTGGGTTCCTTATCAAAACATCTTCTTGATTTGGCTGTAATGGAAGACCAGCAACTGAAAAATTTTGAGTTTCAATGATGGTTTTCTACACATTCTTTTATAACTACACAAGAGACAGAATTTCATTGTCTCTAGCAGGACTGTTGACAATGAACTAGAACACAAATGTTTTAATATTATGTGCACAAGTGTATCTCTTTCATTTTGTGTAGATTTGCTGTATTCTGTATTTTCTTAACAGTCTGTACTTTAGACAGATACTAGTATTTGTGTATTGTAGATTCTAGTTTTGGAAAAGAATTAGTTTAATATTATTGTACTTCTATTTCACACACATTTTCCATTCAATTTATTTTTTAATAGTATTAGCACTAGAAATTAAAGGCCCATTGATAACAATTTTCTTCCATATGATTTTATTTTTACAGTGATTGTTTATAATTGTAGTTACAAGACAAAGAAACAGATTATGCCGAGATGGAACAGTGGCTGACAGCAGAGCAGAAAGCCAGTGTAAGTACCAGTACTGTGTGAATAGGTGTCTACCTTGTTATAGTTACCTAAACAACAGAACAGAAAGCCAGTATAAGTACCAGTACTGTGTGAATAGGTGTCTACCTTGTTAGAGTTACCTAAACAGAACAGAAAGCCAGTGTAAGTACCAGTACTGTGTGAATAGGTGACTACTAAGTTATAGTTACCTAAACAGAACAGAAAGCCAGTGTAAGTACCAGTACTGTGTGAATAGGTGTCTACCTTGTTATAGTTACCTAAACAGAACAGAAAGCCAGTTTAAGTACTAGTACTGTGTCAATAGGTGTCTACCATGTTATAGTTACCCAAACAGAACAGAAAGCCAGTGTAAGTACTAGTACTGTGTGAATAAGTGACTACTAAGTTATAGTTACCTAAACAGAACAGAAAACCAGTGAAAGTACTAGTACTGTGTCAAGAGGTGTCTACCATGTTATAGTTACCTAAACAGAACAGAAAGCCAGTGTAAGTACTAGTACTGTGTGAATAGGTGACTACTAAGTTATAGTTACCTAAACAGAACAGAAAGCCAGTGTAAGTACCAGTACTGTGTGAATAGGTGTCTACCATGTTATTAGTTACCTAAACAACAGAACAGAAAGCCACTGTAAGTACTAGTACTGTGTCAATAGGTGTCTACCTTGTTATAGTTACCTAAACAACAGAACAGAAAGCCAGTGTAAGTACTAGTACTGTGTCAATAGGTGTCTACCTTGTTATAGTTACCTAAACAACAGAACAGAAAGCCAGTGTAAGTACCAGCACTGTGTGAATAGGTGTCTACCATGTAAGTTACCCTTGCATAAAGAACAAGTGCACTTATGGACCCCGGTAAAAGGTGAAATGATGAAGATTCAAATTAAGCGTAATTTTTCATCTCTTATCATCAATTGATATCTAAACTGTAAGATTCAACAAATTTTAGCACAGAAATTCATTTTTAAAACAAAGAGCAAAGCCATACAATGTGGTAAGGGTCAGCAGATATGTGTGATTTTCTATAGTAAATCGAGGATGGGCATTCATTTCAAAGCCTTTGTTTATTGTCAGCCTAACGTTGTACAAACTTGTGCTAAAGATAAAACACATTATACATTTATAAAACTTGTGTGACCATAGGAAATCTGTTCAAGATTAGACTGGTACTTAAAATATGAAAAATGTATGAAAAGCTCAATGTTTTTCCTATAGCAAGTAAGAGCTTTTTACTTGTGTGTCCATTGTTGAACCCACCTGTGGAATAAATTATTTTAAATAGTCACACGAGTTTTAACCAGTAAATATTCCTTAAAAATGCTCACCATAAAACACAGCCACGTTTTATGTCGTTTGCCAAAGTAATTATTACAACGCTAATTGAAAATGATTTGTACAAACTTTTTGATTCATTATTACTTACATGTATATATTCAGCTTTACTGGTTTTAAATAATATCGAAAAAAAATAAATCAAACTATATTCTTAAATGGTAGTACAGTAAAACATTTCACCCTTTACACCTAAATACCCTTTTGTAATTTAAAGAGTTTTTATCACGTATCTAAATTTCTTAAAAATGAAACACTATTGTATTCTTGAAACATATAATTATCGTTTAATTCTGAAATAATGTTGAAAACGGCCGTAATTAGACGATAAAACACCCGTAATATAGGGTCCTCGAAGTAAAAATCTCCACTAATTAGATAGGGGTCACGTGGTACAGAAACGTCATAGGTGTCAATGGTCAATAGAACTCGTAAAGCTTATCGTAAGAAAAAACATATTGATTAGATTTTTACGCTAAATAAATAGAATACATAATATAGCCGGTTGAAATTTTGACATCGACTATATTCCTTTGGTTAGGAACAGTCAATCTTTTATGTATGAACGTCTAGCAGAGAGAAATAATCAGAAAATACGCCTACAGTTGGAGAGGTCACCGAAGACGAAGCCGTTGACAACTCGGGACTTTGACTAAAATAGAACGAATTACTAAAGTATAACTTCGAAAACATTTATGAATATGGGAATTTTAATTCTCCTTCATTGTTATTTTAATTAATTATATATAAATAAATCCTGTATATCTTCTAACTGTTCCAGCAGTGAATATCATGTACTATGACATTTCTTCAATGGCGCCATACGCCATTACGAAGTTCACAACATTCCTACTAGATTCTGTGCGACTTTTAAAAAATGCGTGTTTGTAATTTATTATTTTTTAAAAGGCATTTTTCCTTAAAATATTTTATAGGACAGAAAAAAATCGTGATTGATCGGGCACAAACGATTGCTCTGAATGGAGATAAACGCCATCGCATTTGCAGAACATCTCTCGACCAAATCCAGGAAATGTGGGAAAAAAATTCTTCGTAAAACCTTTCTTGTGCACATTTGTGCATCCTAAAGCCATAGATTATACCTTACTAGCTGTCAATTATCAAATCATCTCTTAATTATTTTCTAACAGGTTTAATAGACACAACAAATGAGCCCTTTTGTACATACACAATAAGTACCTCGCTTGACCAGGATTGACACCTATGACGTCAGAGCAATGGCGCGTAACATCGGCGATCAAAATATGCATACTGAGAAATTCAAACTTTGAATCGCTGAAACATCAAAAATATTAATTTTCTAGCAAAGATTTTTAAATATATGAATTTAATAGCATGTAAACTTTGCTATATCAAAAAATTTTGAGACGTGATAAAAACCCTTTAAAATTGATAAAGAAAATAATGTTAATATTTATTGTATTTTTTCAAATGTAATCGTGCAGAATTCTTAGTTTGATCATTGTTGCTACAGGCAACTATGCAGCTTCATTCAATTTTTTTAGGTCACCTGAGTTTACTCAGGTGACCTATTGCTATCTGTTTTCGTCCGTAGGCGTGCGTCGTCCGTCGTCCATCATGCGTTAATATTTGAACATTTTCAGTTTCTTCTCTGAAACCTCTCAACCAATTTCAGACTTGGACAAACTTCTACACATATTGATTATCTGATACATCACTGTGTATATATGTCAGTTATATTTAAATCAGTTTAGATGGAAAATACATGTTGTTTATAATTTGTGTAATTTTAATGTGTGTGATATTACATTTATTTCTTTTTTAAATTTCAGTTGAACGAACACAAAAATCAACAAAAAGATTCATTATCCAGTTCAGGTTGGTTTGATTTAAAGCTAAACAAGTTAATTCAATCTTTATGCCTGAGCATTAAAGAACTTTCTTGTTCTTGCTTTATAGTTTTCAAAAGTTTTGTCCTCTGACATTGGTATTGACACTCAAGAGCACTAAGACAAAACAGCATATACAAAGTTGTTCTTAAGGTTGCACTTTCATTTTGATGATTTACAAATCAACTTTTATGCCCTGCCATGAATATGCTGGGGCATATAGTGTTTGTCATGTCCATCTTACCATCCTTCTGTCTGTCCTTCCATCACTTTGAGTTTAGCTCAGTTTCAAAGTAAATATTCTAGATATATAAAGCAGAAATCATACATTGATACACATTGGTGAGAGCTATTCCACTTTGGCATTATTTTCTGATCTTGACCCTTTCTGTGACCTTGACCTCATGATTCTGTATTTTGTGTATAGTTCAATTTCAAAGTAACTGTTCAAGATATATTATCCAAAATTCATACTCTGATACATGTATATATTAGTGATAACTATTCAACTGTAGAAGAATTTTCTGACCTTGACTTTACCCGTGACCTTAGCTCAGTTTCAAAGTAGCTATTCAAGATAATTTTATCAAATCTTTTTTATTATGCCCCGCCATGAATATGGCCGGGGCATATAGTGTTTGTCATGTCCGTCTTCCGTCCTTCCATCCTTCCGTCCTTCTGTCCTTCCGTCCTTCCGTCTGTCCTTCCGTCACACTTTGCGTGTAGCTCTGTTCAAAGCTCAGTTTCAAAGATACCATTCAAGATATTTTTATCAAACTTCATATGCTGATAGATATTGATGAGAGCTATGCAACTGCATCAACATTTTTTGACCTTGACCTTTCCTTTGACCTTGACCTCACTTTTCTTAAATTAGTGTTTAGCTCAGTTTTAAAGATACCATTCAAGGTAGTGTAATCAAACTTCATATGTTGATGCATACTGATGTAAGCTATTCAACTGCATCAACATTTTTTGACCTTGACCTTTCTTTTGACCTTGACCTCACTTTTCTTAAATTAGTGTTTACCTCAGTTTTAAAGATACCGTTCAAGATAATGTAATCAAACTTCATTTGTTGATACATACTGATGTAAGCTATTCAACTGCATCAACGTTTTTTGACCTTGACCTTTCTTTTGACCTTGACCTCACTTTTCTTAAATTAGTGTTTAGCTCAGTTTTAATGAAAGCATTCAAGATATTTTTAACAAACTTCATATGCTGATACATACTGATGAGAGCTATTCAACTGCATCAACATTTTTTGACCTTGACCTTTCCTTTGACCTTGACCTCACTTTTCTTAAATCAGTGTCAAACTTCATATGCTGATACATACTGATGAGAACTATTCAACTGCATCAATATTTTTTGACCTTGACCTTTCTTTTGACCTTGACCTCACTTTTCTTAAATTAGTGTTTAGCTCAGTTTTAAAGAAACCATTCACAATATTTTTATCAAACTTCATATGCTAATACATACTAATGTAACCTTTTCAACTGCATCAACATTTTTTGACCTTGACCTTTCCTTTGATCTTGACCTCACTTTTCTTAAATTAGTGTCAATCTTCATATGCTGATACATACTGATGTAAGCTATTCAACTGCATCAATATTTTTTCACCTAGACCTTTCCTTTGACCTTGACCTCACTTTTCTCAATTTGTGTTAAAATGTTGCATTACTAATATACCCTCGGCGGGGCATTCATGTCCTATGGACATATTTCTAGTCAAAGCTATTCAGCTTTGTCATAATTTTTGTCAATGATCTTGAGCCCATTATTCCTCGTTTTGCATTCAGTGTCAAAGAAACTGTTCATGATATTTGCAGAATTACATCTCTGAGAAAAACTAGAATTCATGGAATTCAGAGTCTATTTACCCTTTAAATATTTAAATTTCAAATTTCTGTTCCATAAAGTGCTTGTCTGTTGAGAATTTTTGTCCTCTGCTTTCACTGAAAGTGGGGGATATTAATTTCGGTCTGTCTGTCCGTCTGTCTGCCCCCACCCACCCCGATCTGCACATGCTTTTCTTTTTTTAGCTCACCTGAGCTACAAGCTCAAATGAGCTTTTTTGATCACCTGTTGTCCGTCGTCCATCCAAAATTGGTACAACGCGGCTAGGATAAGACTGTCCATAAATATCACAGTGCACCAGCAATAGTAACTTCTCTGAACTACCTAGATATGACGTCATAATAGCATATGGCATCATGTTACTGCAAACTTGAGGTGACATGACGGGGAGAGTGTCATAAATATTACATTCCTTTCTTAAGGCATGTACGAAGTAGTTTACGTTGATGTTGAATTCAGGTGTCTGGATTTTTTATAAACTGCAGTATAATGGTGAATATTTACATTGACATCATAATTTCTATTTCTTGTCTGATATACAGTGTAATCAAGCAGTAAGAAAAAAGGAGGATGTAAAATTCTTCCCATTACACATCCGCAGAAAGAGTTAGAATTTATACATTGTTTATAAATTAGACTGGCACAAGTGATTAATAAGGATAATTTAAAGATGTTTTGTGTGAATCTTCAAGAGTAACATAGTATGTTATCTTATTGAATCTTGCTGGGGGATAATTTGATGTATAGCTCTAATTTGTATAAATTGCAATAAAGTGTGTAAAATACACTTCTATGTGTGGGTAAGATGAAGCTCTCATGATATAATTACTATATATAAACTAGAAACTCATTGCGAGCAATGAGAGGTCTTCCGTCCGATTCTGAAAATAAAAATGAAAATTCAAGCTGAAAAAGTGATAAAAGAAATTCAGACACTCTGGAGATTTAACCCTAATCGTCAGCGTGAAAACCCAATGTGCTAACTATTAACCATTCACTTTTTTACATCACTTCCTTTCACGACCGGAAGTAACGGCGATGCAAGATTTTCTCACGATTCAAATAAACTGATGACTGAATATCAGTCCTGAAGTTTTAGTCCTCAGTCGTTTACTGTTGCCGAACAATATTGTGGGACTAAATTCTAATTTTGAGAACAGGTAAACACACAACCGGAAGTGAATTTTATAAAAATCTCTGACTTTTCTCTAGACATTTGCAGTATCTGCAACATGCATAAAATCATTTCAAGTACTTTATCAATAAGCGATATTTATGAGAAAGTTAAATATAAGAATAACGTAGTTTATCTCCTTAAACCGGAAGTTGACGTTTTTGTTTCCGGTGGAATCTAACATATTTCAAAACAGCAAAAGAGATGCAATAAATTCATGTAAGTTTTAATTTAAAAAAAGAAAAGCTAAAATTTTTGATTTCTTTGATAACTTCCTGTGAGAAGCGGAAGTGACGACTGACGCGTTTAACCCAAATGGTTTCACCTACCCCTCAACGTCCATTACTCTTAAAATTTTGGTGTTTTAATCTTTTACCTGTTTTTGAGATCTCGCTCAGACAACTTCTCATTTTGAGGACAGGAAAACACGCAACCGGAAGTGAATTTTTGAAAAACTATTTAAGGTTACTCTAGACATTTGCACTCTGAATAGCACATTTAAAATTCATTTCAATTTCTTTATCTATAAAGAATATTTACGGGAAATTAAAAAATTCAAATTATTAAGTTTTTCTCCTCTAACCGGAAGTTGTCGTATTTGTTTCCGGTGGGACGAACATCTTTCGAATCTGCGAAAAAGATGCAATAAAGTGATGCAATTTTCAATTAAAAAAAGAAAAGTTGAAATTTTCGTTTTCTTTGATCACTTCCTGTGACGACCAGAAGTGACGACTGACGCTCTTAACCCAAATGGTTTTGCCTACATCTTAAGGTCTGTTGCTCATAAAAGTTTGGTGTCATAATCTCTTACCGTTTCCGAGATCTTGCTCTCACAACTTCTCATTTTGAGGACAGGAAAACACGCAACCGGAAGTGAATTTTACAAGGATATTCTACATTACTCTAGACATTTTTAGTCTGAATAACATATTTAAAATTCATTTCAAATACTTTATCTACAAAAGATATTAATGGGAAAGAAAAATACTCAAATTATGTAGTTTTTCTCTTAAAACCGGAAGTTGTCGTTTTTGTTTCCGGTGGGACCAACATATTTCGAAACTACAAAACAGATGCAATAATGTGATGTAAGTATTGATTTAAAAAAAGAAACTTGAAATTTTACGATTTCTTTGATCACTTCCGTAGGCGACCGGAAGTGCCGACGACGAACGAAAAGTAGCGACCCGGCTAGTATCTATCACGAACTATAATCCCTGAAAGTTTCACATTGAAATCTCTTGTAGTTCTTGAGATTATCCGCGGACAAAATGTCATTTTGAAATCAGAAAATGGTCTGTAACTTGGCACCGGAAGTGAATTTCCAAATTTTCTCTCAGATAGATCAAGTTCATGTTACAACACACTATTGCTGTAAATTTCATGTAAATCCCTCCAATAGTCTTCGAGAAATCGCGCACACAAAATTAGAAAGTCAAAAAAATAAGAATAATAATAATAACTAGAAACTCATTGCGAGCATTGAGAGGTCTTCCGTCCGATTCTGAAAATAAAAACGAAAATTCAAGCTGAAAAAGTGATAAAACAAATTCAGACACTCTGGAGATTTAACCCTGGTCGTCAGCGTGAAAATCCAATGTGCTAACCATTAACCATTCACTTTTTTGCATCACTTCCTGTCACGACCGGAAGTAACGTGACACACGATTTTCATACGATGCAAATAAACTGATGACGGACTATCAGTCCTGAAAGTTTCAGACTTCAGTCATTTATTGTTGCCGAGCAATTGTGAGAACAAATTCTAATTTTGAGGACAGGAAAACACGCGACCGGAAGTGAATTTTATAAAAAATCTCTAACGTGTCTCTAGACATTGCAGTATCAACAACATGTATTAAAACATTTCAATCCTTTTCTATAAGCGATATTTATGAGAAAGTTGAATATCGAAATAACGTATTTTATCTCCTAAAACCGGAAGT